ATAGGAAACATCTCTACCAGGCAACGGTAGTTCTCTGACTTTGGTGCTCCTGTGCTAGGCCTTTTTCTGTTTTCATTTTCTTACTCTACTGTATGGTTCCACATAGAGAGATCTCCAGGCGCATAAAGTAGCTACTGGAATATAAACTTTACTAAGGTCTGAGACTGCCAAATCCCACCATTTGACCTAATGCAACAAGTTTTCATATGCTACCTACTACGTGCAAAGCTCACACAGGAAAAATCAAAAAGGGAAATTATTTTGCTAACATATCACACTAAATGATTCATGCCAAAATTCATACAAATTTGAGGTTTGCAAAAATCATATTTTGGTGATATTTTCACTTGGTAATTTAAAAAAAAGAAATAATTACAGGTATAAAAAAGAAGCACAGACACAAATGTTAGAATTTTTTTAATGGTACTTTCTACAAATCATGCGTAGCCAGAGTTTTAGAGAAATTTTGGAAACTGGAATGATGCTTGGTGTATCTTCACTGAACATGCTGGTGCTTCACTACATTTCAAGCAGCAGAGTGCCAGACCTGGAGTCAGAAAGGTCAAATCCAGCCTCACACACTTCCCAGCTGTGTGGCCTTGGGCAAATCACTTAGCCTTGGTTTGCCTCAGTTTTCTCATCTATAACTGCACCTACCTCCCACGGTTGTCGTGAGGGTCCAATGAGATATTTATAAAGTGATCAGCACAGTATCTGGTACATATAAGCTCTCCATAAATGCCAGTCATTTTTATAATTATGCCTAATGTGATCGATGGCCTATTATTAAATAGCACTGTTTTTAAGTGAGTGAGCTCTCACTGCCACAGCCAGCACAATAAGACTTCCAAGACAATTGTTTTTCTGTAATGTCCACATCTCCTTGCAAAGACAGGTCCCTAATGGCAAAGTATCACATGGAAGTACCCACCTGGCAGATGCTCCTCCATGGGGATACCAAACCTGCAGAATCAAAGGAAACTAACGCCACGCATGCTGGTTTTCCCAGCAGACAAGTCAAAAGACAACTCATGTTTAAAAACAGATTCTATAATATTGCCCTCCCAATAAGAAATGGTCTATAGGTAGCAGAGGTTAAAAGCAGGAGAGGAGAGGCAGCTAGATGGCGCAGTGGACAGAGCACCATGCCTGGATTCAGGAGGACTTGAGTTCAAATCCAGCCTCAGACACATAACACTTAATAGCTGTGTGACCCTGGGCAAGTCACTTAACCCTACTGCCTAGGACAAAAAAAAAAAAAGGCAGGAGAGGAGGAAACAATTAATAAGCAAGGAAATAATTTCTAACAATGTAGCTTTTTCTTCATTTTTTCATCAAAGTGACAGAAACATATCAGCAAGGTTCACCAAGAGCCTGCTTTTGTTCTGTGCCACACTTCTCGGGTATAGATATTAACCAAAAATAAAAGGTTAAGGACAAGTTTTTCCTGCACTCCCTTCCTTCCCACCCCAAACTTAGGGGCACTTAGAAGAAGCCAAAGGAAAGCGTAGGGAGATGAGGTCCTTTTTCACCACCACAGACCTTTCCTACATCCCTCACGGGTATGTGAACACAGGGCTTTACAGGAACTCATCACCAACCTTTCGGTTCTTTGCACTGAGCCAGGCAGCCTGTAAACAGCAGACAATCTGTTTCTGGAACAACATCTGAAGCCTTACCAGCAGGGTAGAATCAGCCAAAACTTACACTCCCCAGACGCATAGGCTGTGGGAAACCAAGGACTTGCCTCAAAAGTGGGACACGTTTGTATATACAAATGGGAAAGTTCATACCAGATGGTCGCAATTTTTGATAAATATATACAATTTTAAATGGTATATTACTATATAATACAATGTAGTAACTCTCTGAAAAGTTGCTGTACACTTGCTAGATATTTTTAAAGTCTGTGTGAACACTGAAGTGCTATAATAAGTGTGAGTTATTATTATCCTTCTCTGATATAAAGCTAGGGGAACACAGAAGGAACCAGGCATTTCTAGCTCCCAATGAGCTTCGTCACTACTCCATTCTGTTAGAAAATAGTCTAGCCTACCCTCCCCTAACTCCCAACACAACCCCAATCCCAAGAATATTTCTTAGGAAAGCTTAGGCTTAGGAGGGGAGTCATGAGTTTGCATGAGCATATTTGTTGAACAGGTCTTACCTGTCAATATTTAAGTATGTGACTGTTTGGAAATAAAATACAAAAATCTCTGTGTAACTCTTATCTTAACAAATATATTTCAGAAAAGCCAGAAGACTTAATGGCAAAAATATGCACCTGACATAGGCACAGTTTCTCTTTTCCCTCAAAACAGCTCCAAGTTCTCAATTAATTTTCACTATAAGATGACAACACGGAGAAATCTGCCAATGTGTCACTGCACAAATCATGTACATTTATAACGATGGTATCTTTCTGGGCACAGCAGCCTGAAAAGCATTAAGTCATATATAAAGAGAAACTTTTACCAATTCCATATTTGTCCCAAATAAAGGCAGCAATTAATATGTGGAACCTAACACCTTCAGGAAAAAAAATATGAGCCCCTCATTTTTCACAGAGGATAAGAAATGATTTGCATTTATTCTGATAAAACTTCCTAGACTGTCAGACCTTAGAAATTCTAATTAAAGAACAATACTCACCCCCATAAAGCCATGACTAAGTGTTTATTCCTCTACCTTAGGGGAACATCACATTTTATGGCAATCCTTATTACACCAGAACTCACAGAACACCAGAAGCATAAAGTTAACTATGTATCTCAGGCATCTTCTTCCTGACTTTCTATGTAAGGAAAAGCAAAAAAGTTAGGCCAGCTACCCAGAGCTAGCCTGGGGCAAAGCAGGATCACAGAGGGAGACCTTAGTGTCTAGGCCAGGGCTTTTTCCACTCAACCCCATTGACAAAACATCCAGATATGAGATTGCTCTGTATTTACCTACCCCTTTGGGCAAGTTCGAGGAACATAAGCACTCCGCCCAAATCTCTCTACCAATAATGCTATCAGTTTAGAATCTCAAGAAAATTCAGCATCTTTATCATTAATTGTGGCCAAATCACCCAAATTCCATTCCATTCCAATCTATTCTCAATCTAGTTTATTTCTTGGCCTTCTCATCACCAGTTTTATGAATTATCATTTAGTTGTCATAATAAAGTCACCATGTTATTTCAAGTGCCTCCAAACACAGGTAAAAGATGTCATCTGAACCAAAACATAACCACCCGAAACTGAAAAACCCACTGGCCTTAATATCTCCTTTGGTCAATGGGAAGCTTTCAATCTAGGAGAGCAGATGTGTGAAGGCATGACTAGTCCATACCTACCCTGAATGGCAGAGCCCCAGCCTCTAAGAGGTACCTGCCAAAGCCTCAAGGGATGGAGATAAGGAAGAATTCTCCCAAAGGCACCTGACTGATGCAGCTGTGAGTGACCACACAAGTTAATTCTTGAGGGACCAAAGCTCAGCTTAGAAAGGGAAAGCTTGGAAAGATGCCTAGAGGATAGAGAGGGGAAAACAGTGGAGGACAGAAGTAAGCATGGCTGTATTGGAGACAAGTCCTACAGGTGGCTATTTCTGGAAAAATAGGATGCGACCCATCTTCCCACTGTCCAACTGGCTTAATGGGGCCAAAGCTGAGCTTAGAAGGGGAAAGCTTGGAAAGTTGCCTAGAGGATAAAGGGGAGAAAAGTGGGAGAACAGTGGCGGACAGAAGTAGGCACGGTTTTATTGGAGACAAGTCCTATTCCTGGAAAAATGGGATGTGACCCATCTTCCCACTGTCCAACTAGCTTAATGGATCACAGAGCTAGAAAGGACTTCAGGACATCTAGGCAAACCCCTCATTCTACAGATGAGGTTGACCACATACCCCTAAGGGTCAGGCCAAGGTCTCCACTTTGCCCACCACTGCCTTAGTATACTGTACTCATGAACTGCTACGGCCAAAACAGGTCCCCTGGTAGCCACACCTACCCCACAATCCCACAAAATCATTCAATCGCTAATCCAACCACCCTGAAGATATATTCTAAGATTCTGATTTTTAATTATGCTTCAACAACCAAAGAATGGTCCCCAAAGAAGGAAAGAAATCACTGCCAGGAAAAAAAAATCTAATGGTATACAGTATACATTCCCAACCTGGCACATTAGCACCTCCCCTGAATTTAGTAGGATTTTCTGTAAGCCACTGAAATCAGGAAATTTAGAGTCAATACCAGTCTACAGTTCTCCTACTGGGTAATGCCATGCCAGCTGACGCTCCGTCCACAGAGACTAAGTCAGACTACACCACAAGCCTCTGAAGAGAAATAAATCCTGCCCACTCCCAACAAGGGATTTCTAGACTAGCTTTGTTTTCTTATTTTTCCTTCTATAATCCTCTCAATTTCACAAAGAATGTTCAACTTACACTTTTGCAGATAAGGTAAGAAAAAAAAATCACACCACCAAATTTCCCACAGTCCTTTATATATTTATTAACAGAGAAATGATGTATTTAATGTTAATGAGCATCATTAGCCAGAAATACAAGGCCAGGGCAACAATATACATCCTCAACATTTACCAATTTACTTTTCCACTGCCTCATTTAAGGCCAATAATTCATGTAATTTAAATGGCTTCTTTAACTAGGGCTTTAACAGATCTTAAGATGAATGAAATTTTACATATTATCAAGTCCAATCTCCTTATTTTACAGGGGGAAACTAAGGTTAAATGAGGCTATCCAAGTTCCTATATCCAGTTGGAGAAAATGAATCTTATGCACATATAGACATACATACACATATATTACATATACGTATGTATACACATACACAAATATGTATATTACATAATCCAATCATACTTAGCAAGAATGTAATGTTATTTTCTCAATTTCAATTTCCAAGACTTGCTAGGTATTATATGAATTTTCAATGAAATAATACTTTAAAAAACAGACATCACAGTAAGAAAAAAAGGAATCCAAATCAACACACCTGGACATCATAGAGAGCCACAATATTTTCATGCTGAAGTTCCTATAAAACAAATTCAATCATAAAAATATTTCTTTTAACAAAAGTTAAATGAAAATGAGACCAATAGATTAAAGCAAAGCATAACTTTTATATATTAATTATTACCAGGTTACAAATAGGCAAATAAAACACAGATTCATCTGACAAGCCTTGTTCTTAGAAAATATAAGGACTCAATTTCTTCTACTACCTACATTTTAATTAAATATAAGAAGAACTCTTGTAAAGTAAAAATAATTGATTCAAGCCTAAAAAACAAACTGATGTGGCTGAAAGGGCCACAGATAGCATAGCTGGCTACCTAAAAGCAACGTACAATTTCTAAACAGCAACAGAATCACTGATAAAATTAAAAAGATTACTTTAAAAGATACATTATCTGCCTGAGGTAACAGCTAATTAGTCTAAGCAAACATTTCATTTCTGGGTGAACATGAGAGGCCACATCCAAGGAACACAACTTAATAGAAAAGTTCCTCAATTTAGCAGAGATGGCGCTAAATGCTGAATTTGTATTGTGTGGCCAACTGGAAATACAAAAACTACAAGATAAAGACAGTGCCTCCCTCCTCCTCCTTTGGGAAGTATGTACTTTCTCAATTAATAACAACAGGGAAAAAAGAAAAAACCTCAGAAGTCAGATTTAATATATTACCACTTTCCATTAACTTCTAAATCTAATGAAAGAAAACAAGAAATGTTATCTGGTCATAAATTAACTTAGTCTCCTAAAATATTTTAGAGCATCAAATATTCCAAAGAACTATGCTCCCTCCCATAAGATAAGAGCAATAGTGAATGCTCCCTGGCTGTCTTCCCACTCAATTCTAGGCCTCTGCCTGTCAAGGCTGCTAAGGATCATTTGTAAATATAGTATGAAGGGATACAAAGTAAGAAGACATATCCACATACCTTTAAGATCTTAATTTCCTTTCCCAGAAGTATTTGTGATTTTGACAAATTTTTTTTATTAATGCTTTTTATCGCTACTTCCCAATCAGTTTTCTGAAAAGGAAAAAACAAAGATTTCATTAGATTAGCACTGAAATAAATTCAAATTTTAGCACACCCCTGTGTGCTAATCTAGGACTCTTGGCAAAAAAGAATGGCCAAACCTTTCACAATTATTTCTACTCCTGACATGCCTTTACATTAAACATTCTGAAACCTGACTCTAACGCTTTTCAAAAGCACAAGACTTCTATGCTGACAAAAAAGAAACAAAAAAGTCTTGAGCATGCTCCTTTGTTTTTTTTTTTTAAGTCCACAGTTAAATCATTTTTTCCACTCATACTTTATGATACCCAAAGGGGGGGGGGGCGGTGTTGCTATGCTTGCATGGGGCATATAGGAAGTAATGCTGGGAAACGTGACACTTTTGAGTTTTGGAAAACCTCGGCCAATGGGAGGGCAGCCAATTTTCCATTGGGTCTACAATTATGAACATTAATATGACAAACACTGGAACTACCGGACTCCCCAAAGGCCACAAGGCCCCTAGCCTCATCGTTGTTTAAAATGTCTGAGATGAATAGTATTTTGGAGTCTCAGGAAAAACAAGATAAAACTTTTCTCGTGTTATAAACAAAATACATACATAATAACTTGAAGCAAGAAAAACACTACATGGTTGTCGGTAGATGGAGCTCTGCCTGTTGAATAAGGTTTAGGCCCTCAAAACAATCTAGACAATACAAACAAACGGGGGAAAAAAAACTGGGGACAACTGTAGGCTAATAAGGCCTTCCATATAGCTAAACCTAAAGTTTAAAAAGGACTGATTTCCTTCCAGTAACCAACGCAGACCCCTCTGCTTTTGCTTACACATACGAAGTTACCAAAAAAAAAAAAGAAAGAAAAACCCTGATCTCATTAAAAAATGTTTCACGGTTATACTATGTTTCCTATATAGTTGGGTTTTGTTTTGTTTTTTTCAATTGATGGTGTAAAGGCAACTTTAACCCAATATTAAATGCACTAACTGGTAACAACATCTTATCCATTAAAATGTAAAAGTTAGAGAAATGTATCAGAGAGGCTGCAATCCTACAGTTCCTAAAGGAAGTCAGGTTTTATTGGCCTTTGTTTTTTGTTTTGTTTTTCAGGAAGGAGGGAAGGAAGCAGTAAGAAGGTCAAGTCCAGTGGGGTTGATAAGGGAAGGGGGTCAGAAACTTGTTAGCGGCCGAAAATCTATTCCTTTGCGGTCTGGGTAGGAGCGGGGTCGAATCTGGGCAAGCTCGTGGAGGGGAGATGGGGGGGGGGGGCCAGGGACACACTGGTGTTGTCAATGCTAGGGATGGAGAAGGGCGAGGGGTCGGAGAAAGGAGAGAGGGGATGACAAGGACGGAAGCGGGGCAGAGGCAATGGAGGGAGAACGGGGGGATGAAATCAGGGACGCTGGCGCTGTCAATCATGGGGGATGGAGAGTGACAGAGGATGGAGGAGGATGGAGGGGGGCCCGGGGCACGCCGGCGCTGTCATCCTGGGGCGCTCTGAGACAACCCACAACAACAAAAAGGCACCACGTCAGTGGGTGTGTTTGAGCAATGCTGGGAACGGCTGAGCCGCCCCCACATACGCCCCCTCCCACAGTCACAAGTTGGCTTTGAGATGACAAGCTGGGGAAGGGGCTCTGGGGCCGGGGTCAGAGATGGCGATGCTGGGGGAGGGGAGCTGCTGCCGGGGTCGCCCCCAGCCCCCGCCTTGGGGAGGGGGTCGCGCAGCGGCTACCTTGCGATGCCGGCCTTTGAAGACCACGGCGAAGGCTCCGTGCCCGACGAGGTCTTTTTTGCTGTACTCGAAGTCCCCCACCACCTCCATGCTGGGCTTGCTGGGCGGGGGGCATGAAGCCCGGCGGGGGGGGGGCGGAGGCGGGAGGCCGCTCAGCCCCGCAGGGCCCCCAGGTCCGGCCGCGGCGTCTCCCCGGCCGCACGAGCGGCGGCTGCGGGCCCGGGCCCCGGCCGGGCGGCGGGGGCGCTCATGACGGGGGTGGGCGACCTCCCTCGAAGCCCCAACGAGCGCGGGCGGGCCCGGGCGGCGGCGGCGATCGAGCGGGGCACCGGAGGCCTGCGGAGCGGCGGCCCCAGGCGGGGCAGCAGGGCGCCCGGCGGCCGGGGCTCAGCCAGGCCTCGGGGGCCGCCCGCCGCCGCCGCTCCTCCGCATGGTCCGGCCCCCGGCTGGGGGAGCTCCAGCCGCGCCGCTCGCGTCCCGTCCCCTCCCGGCCGGGCCTCGCCTGCCTGCCTCCCTCCCTTCCTCCGGTGCCTCGGCTCCCCGCGCCGCTGCGCCTCGCTGGGCCCAGGCCCGCAGGCGGCCGCTGTCACTGAGCGCCCCCGGAGCCGCTCGCGCCCCCGGGGCAGGGCGCCGGCCGCGCTCTCGCCATTCCCCGCCCAAGCCGCCCCCCAGCCCCTCCGGCCCGGCTTCCCGACCCTCCTTCCCCGCTCGAGGAGACCCGGGACGCCTCCCCGGCTCCGGTCACCGCGCCGTGGCACCAGCCCCGCGCCCCACCCGGAGAGCCCCGTGCTTCGTCGGCGACTGCGCCGACTGCTGCTCCTCCGCGACGCCCCGCACATTTTATAAGGCAAATCGCTCGGCGCAGCGCCGGCTCCCTCCGCCTGGGAAAGAAGTGCGCCCCCCACCGACGCCCGGCCGGGGAGGCTGCTCAGGCTTCCCCGCCCCCAGCCTCCCTCCTGCGGGCATCTGCCTCTGGGGAGAGGTCTCAGCGGCTGACACCGGCGCGGGAGAGGGGCGAAGGTGAAGAGCAAAGCGAGGCCGGGAGGGGCTAGGAGGAGACCCTAACCTAGAGACTGGTAGCCAGGGCCCCACCCCCCCCACCCTACCCCCGCCCCCTGGCTCGGGCTCAGTTTCCGGATGGTGTCAACCCAGGACAGTGGGCTGAGCCGCAGGGGGCCTGCAGCCAGCGGGCTCCCCCGGGGGTGGGACGGGACAGGATGGGACGGGACAAGTCCAGAGCTGATCCCGAGCTGATCCCGAGCTGATCCCGGGGAAGGATGCTGGGGCCTCTGCTCGGCTCCTCTCCGAGGCTCACGAGGCTCGCACCCGTCCAGCCAGCCTTGGGGAGAAGCGGAGGACCCAACAGAATTGGGGCATTATGCAATAGCCGGTGGCCACGCCTGACCCCCCCCCTCACCCCCACCTCCAGGCCAACCCCCTAGGAGGAGCAAACTCCCGGGACCAGGAATTTCTGTGCCCTCGGGAAGTTCCAAGACCTGACTCCAGCGAACAGAAACCGACCTCTGGGAAAGAAGCGTGGGCCGGACCCTCTCTGACACGCAGCTGGGAACATCGGCCTTACAGCTGGGAAGATCACAGCAGCAGAGATGGAGAGCTGGGCAGGACCTCAGCGCCGCTAGTCCAACGCCCTCATTTTACAGACCAGGAAACTGAGGCCAGGGAGGGGCCAAGGTCACACAGGCATTGTCAGAGGCAGCATTTGAACCCAGGTCCTCCGACATCAGAGATTTCTATATAGTCTCACTACCTGAATTCAGAGCTGGAGGGGGCTGTAGAAATCCAACCCAGAGCCATAACTATGGATGGAGGATTGGAAAGTGTAGACCTTGGTGTCTCGGGAAGCTTTTCCTGGTCCCTCCCCTCCCCCACCAGCTGCCAGTGCCTTTTCCTTTCAGATTAATTTCACTTCCTCTGGATAAATCTTGTGTGTACCCAGGGATTTGCAATTGTCTCCCCCATTAGTATGCAGGCACCTTTTATTTATTTTTCCCTTTAAATATCCCCAGTGCTTAGCACAGCTCTGAGCACTTAGTTAGGACTTACTAAATCCTTGTTTGACTGAGTGAGAACCCAAATTGACTCTGCCACCTAATATCTTGGGCAGTCACTGAACTTTCCTGGGGCTCAACTTCTTTACCTGGAAAATGAAGGGAGTTGGACCAGGTGATCCCTGAGGTCCCCCCAGCTCTTAGGTCCTATGACCACCTCTGGACTTGCAGTCCCTGTTCCTGCATCTTGCCTCACTACATTATGGAAGTGTTAGGTAGAGACACTCTCCCCAGAGTCCCTTAAGGACGCAGCCCCTCCTTCAAGACCCATCTCCCCAGAGAAGATTTCTCTAGGTGCAGTCAGATGATCCAGGCAAGCATTAAGTCTCTCTGCCGCCCTCCCCCTCCCCCAATTTAACACAGGCCCAATTTGGGCTGGTAACAGGCCTGGTCCAACCCCATCAGTTTGGAGACAGGGTTCTCCCACCTCACCAAAATATGAACAATTTGTGGATCTCCACGGCGTGCGGAGATCCCTGTGTTATCTGTTTGGGGGCAGTGGGGAGCAAAAGACATTCTAGCTAGCTTCTAGCTAGAATGATGTGAAAGAGGGAAGATGGAGAGCAAGGATGGGCCTAGAAGTAACATGTCCCCTCCCCCTATCCTACTTATGCTAGTGCAGACCAGCTTTGCTCCTTCCTACATATGGAACATCAGATTGAACCTTCCTGGGCCTTGTTTTACTTCATCTGTGAAATGAGAGAGGGGTGGACGAGATGGCTGTGAGCTCCCTTCTAACTTTAGAGCAACAATGCCCCTGCCTCTGATACAGCTAGTAAGTGTCTGAGTCAGGATTTGAACCCAGGTCCCCCTTGCTCCGGCAGGGGAGCACTCTGTCAACCACGCACACTGCTGGTCTCTAAGGGCCACGCCAGCTTTAGTATTCTGTGATAAATCAGAAATCCCCGGCCCAAGATAAGGCAGCTTAGTCAGGGCTCAGAGGATAATATACCGTAGGCCACATCTCTAGAAGGATATATGAATGTGTCCTTTCAGGTGTGCCATCACAATCAGACATAGCACTCCCATACTGCTCCTGGCTTGCCTCAGACACCTTGAGCTCACCCATTGCCTCTCTCACCAAGGAAATCATCAGTCTAAAACAAAAGATTATAAGGGATTTACATACATTAATGGGTTGTAAAGCACTGTGCATGAATAAATAAAAAAGTATTCATTACTCACCTTGTGCTAAGCATTGAGGATACAGATAGAGAAATAAGACGGTCCCAAGCTCCTCTCATAGAGGAAGGTTCTGCTGGAAAGGCCCAGGCATCTGTGCAGTATTGGGGCAGATGGCAAGGCCCAAGAGCACTTGAAGTGCGTCGGCAGCTCAGAGGGAAAGGCCTAGATGACCTTAGAATGTAATGGTTAGGGCATGCAAGTGGTGTAGACAGCCATGTCTGGAAGACCCCAAGGGGCTGTGCCTACCACCATTGGGAAAGGAGAAGTGGGTCTGAGGGCCTGAGTGGAACGAGGATTCTGGGCTCCGTCTCACAGGCATGGTAGCTAGGGGTCAGAAGCTAGTCAGGAGGTGGGAAAGAGGATACCCCTTGCTACCTGTTCCAAGACGTTCTCAGGCCACCCGCTGGACAGTGACTGTCCTGGGGCAGAGGAGGAAGAAAGAATGAACCCGCCACAGCCAACTGGCTAAGTATCCATGAAATGATTTGATCCTAGCAATGTTACAGGTGTTATTAGCTCCATTTTACAGATTATGTATATACAAGGGCTTGGCATGGACATAACAAGACACAAATTTTCCCATTATTGAAATGTGTTTGCTCAGTTCAATAATAAACAGAGAACAATTATCGTGTCCCATAAGAATTCCCTTCCAATGGGGAGAATGTGGCTCCAGGCATCTCTTCAAAGGTGCTGCTGCTTTCAAGAATTCTGTGTGTAAGCAAACGGCCAGAATGCAAAAGATTACACGAGGTAAGTAGATCACTCACACTTACTTCTACAGTGCTCTGAAGCTTGTAACAACCTGTGAGGTAGCTGGTGTTGAGTATTCTCCCCACTTTACAGATGAAGAAACTGAGGCTCTGAGCCGTTGGATAACTTGTAAAGATCAGACAGCTTGGAAACACCCAGAGCAGGCTTGACTCCTGGCAGCTTAGAATCAGGAGAGGCCTGGGCTCCAATTGGCCTTTGTCACTTGATCATGACTAAGCCTTTTCATTTCCCTGAAGTGAAGCTTCCTTCTCTAGAGGAAAAAAAAAAAAAGGACAATATAAACAAGTGTCCTGCAGCAGAAAGAAGTCCAAGTTTGGATTCTGAGTTCAAATCCTAGTTTTTCCACTTCTTATGGCCTTGAACCTCTCTGGGCTTCAGTTTCCTCATCTGTAAAATAAGGGGGTTGAACTAGGGGGGGCCTCTGAGGTTACTAGTCCCATGAGCATAGAACACCGGCCCTGGAGTCAGGAGGACCTGAGTTCAAATCTGGCCTCAGACACTTGACACTTACAAGCTACGTGACCCTGGGCAAGTCACTTAACCTCATTGCCTAGCCAAAAAAAAAAAAAAAAGAAAGAAAGAAAATAAAAACCAAATGAGGTCCATCTATCCATAAAGCAGACCCAGGAGGACCTCCCTGGAGGAACAGGTGTTAACCATTGGCACACTGCAATAGGCAACAGCATTTTTTTAAAAAATCTATAATTCAATCTTTCACCCATTCAGAGTTACTTCCCATATTTTAGGGAAAGACCCCCTCCCTGCCCCCTGCTCGATATCTCCTCTCAAGGCTTACAGGACTTTTAAGTCTGAGTCACACAATTTATCAGATTCCATGATTGAATTGTATGTGTATGTCATATATTTCCCACTATACTATGAACTCATTGAGGGCAAGAGCTATGCCTATCCTTCCCACAATGCCTAGTGTAGGGCTGGGCACATTTTTAGATAATTAAAGAACCCAATGACTGAATGTTATCACAAAATGTATGGAGCTCAAACACTCTTAGAACCCATCCATAAATTATTAGAGCCGAAAGGGACCTTCGAGGGCAACTAATCCCATCCCCACCCCCATGTTTCCATTTTACAGAGAAGAAA